ATATACATAAGGCATTTTAAACCTTTCCACACTCTTGCAATTTTCTAAACAATGTTTCTAAACTCTAAAGTTCTAAAAGAGCAGAGAATGTCATGATTTCAGCTCCCTGCTTCCTCTGCTCTTTGCCACCTGCAAGCGCTATTGGCCACGGCCACTTCTCCACTCTTCACGCTGAGCAGCTGATCAGCTGCTGCAGGAAGTTCATCCTGCAGTGTGGGCTGCACAAAGCTGCAGGAGGAAGCTTTTTCTGTAGCTCTGGGCTGCACAAATGTGCATCAGGAGCTAAATAATTTAAAATAATTTATTTTAAATAAAAATTCCATGCCGATTGAGTGGCTCATCCATCAATCAGCCAATTGTGTGTCCTTTCCTATCTTATTTTGAAAAACCGCGATAGATCGAATCCACAATAAATGAACCGTAAAGTTGCTTAAAATTATAGTTTCTTCAAATGACTGGGGCAGCCACACATTAATACAAGGTGGCCAAGGCCACCATTAGCCATTACCACCAAAATCAGAAACCAATATAGATTATTGAGCAGCATTATGAACATTTTTCTTTTTAGTTCATTCCAACTGAATTATCAGAATCACGCTTGAAGAAGACATCTTATACCAATTTTGTGCTTCCTCAATATAGTGTCATTGTATTGGAATTAAGACAATACAAAACACTGTAATAGCAAATTTCTGATATTATTTAGTGATTAATCTTAACTTTACTTGTCCATGTTGTTTAACTTGCATTATATAGAAAGCTATGGTTGTGAACCACTACGGTTTCATGACGAAAAACAGTAAAACATTATGTCAGGCCTCCAGAGATCAAATCTGTAGAGGGAAACCAAATCTATTAAAAGAACTTCACAGTTTCAGTGATTCAGTTACAACCTAGTTAATAACAGGTGTCCTGTCTTTGGATTCAGATATTAAAATATGTTTATGTATTTTTTTAACTGATTATTTAAGGAAAAATTATTGTTGTTTAAAAACTGTTTATGGATAATCAGGTAAATATTTCTTATATAACTCTGTTGGGGTATGTAGAAATGAACAAATACAGATATTTGTATTTTGCCATTTTGTTTACAGTATATGTTTTAATAATCGGTAGTAATTCTATTATTGTGTATCTGATCTGGTCAAACAAAAGCCTCCATGATCCTATGTATATCTTCATTGCAGCTTTGTTATGTAACTGTGTTCTTTACAGCACCACCGTTTACCCAAAGCTCTTGATTGACTTTTTATCTGACAACCAGATCATATCATATTCAGCCTGCCTCCTCCAGTTCTTCATGTTTTATACTTTAGGCAGTTCAGAGTTCATCCTGTTGGCAGCCATGTCTTTTGATAGATATGTGTCTATATGTAAACCTCTGAGCTACCAAACAATCATGACTACAACCACGGTGAAATGGCTTCTGGCTTTGGCCTGGGTTCTTCCTGTTTGTCATGCTGCTGTACAAGTAATACTGAGTGCTCAGTCTCAAATATGTCACTCATCCATGAAAGGAATCTTTTGTAACAATTCCATATTTTCACTTTATTGTGTCAAGTCAACATCACTTCTTGTATTTGGAGTTGTTTCTTTAGTAGATCTTTTAGTGCTTCCATTGCTTTTTACAATTTTTACATATGCAAAAATATTTACAGTATCTTATCAAAAAAGTCAAACATTTAGGAGAAAGGCTGCAGAGACATGCATACCTCACCTGTTGGTTTTAATCAGCTTCTCCTACTTAGCTTCTTATGACATAATTATAGCTCGAGTGGAGTCTAGTTTGCCTAAAACTGTTCGCTATATAATGACATTACAAATATTTCTGTATCACCCTTTGTTTAACCCATTTATATATGGTTTAAAAATGAAAGAAATTTCTAAATATTTGAAGAACTTTTGTTTAATCAAAGTCTAACTGCAGCTCATCATTTTTGCAGAAACAAAATTTTCATTTGCTGCTTTGATTGTGACTACGCACAATCAACAATGATCAGCTCAGTTCCAGCACTACACATTCAGCAGTTTAATAAAATCACAGTGTGATCAGAAAAGCTGGAGAAGTCCTAAAATAAATCCTGCACAGACCTATTATATCACTAGCTGATTTGAATCAGTTATTCCTGTGTGTATCTGATGTGATGACTGTTATTTACCTAAAGTGGAACATTAAATAATTTGCAGATTGCAGCATTTTCTGTATGAACTGCAAGAGGGAAGTACAAGTACATAAACATTTTTTCCCATTTTGTAAGTATTATCAATTGTTCTATCTGTTACGTATTGCACAGAAAGTTGAGCACAATTGATATTCCTAAAATTTCTTGTAGATGGAAATATTTTAATTTGTTATCCTAATTTTCTAATGTTAGAAAACATATTCTAGTCTTTCTTTCTCTGCAAGATTTTATCAGATCAATTATCCTATTTTTTCACAACATTTAGGCTCAGTCCTAACAGATGTAACAAATGAAATAAAAAAGATCAATGAAGAACATTGGTTTCTATGGAAACAATGAGAAAAGATTACATTAAATACAGTTAGGGCCGCCAACTTTAACAGTGAATCCCTGAACACAGATAGTTTTATTCAGCTTAAGGAGGGTTTCCCAACTAAAGTTTTCAGATGAGCAGGGAGGGCGACAAAAAACAAGTAGTTTTTGGTTTATGGTCAACACATCAGCTCCTTCACTTGTTCATCCACACATTCCTTCACAGTTCAGTTTAAGAATCATGTCTGGAGTGCAACAATGTTCAGTCAGATCATCTGGGCGGTTTCTTTTTGGTTTTTTTCTGAGACGTTTCGTCCTTCATCCAAAGAAATGAAGAAGTCCTTAGGATGAAGGATGAAATATCTCAGCAAAAAAGAACAACCGTCCAGATAATCTGACTGAACATTGTTGGAATTTGATCTGGATTATTGAGCATGAACTTTGGTGCATGTCTGTAGTGCACTTTACTTCATCTCCATGTGAAGAGATTTTGGAGCAGAGCACCAGAGAGCAGTTTTTAAAGAATGCTTATCTTTATAAATGATGTGTTGGTGAGAAATGGTTATAAGAAAATGTAAAGGCAATTTTAGGAGCAAATATTTATAAAAAAAAAGGGGGTTTTGACTGTAACTGATCTTCCTTCCTTTAATTTAGAAAATCTGGAATCTCAGAGTTCACATTCTGATGGGTTTTTGAATTTTTAAACAACAACATGAAATTCCGTATTAAGGGTACAAATTGTTAGAGGAACATGCTCTTAATGACATTTACTCAAATGAATCACACTCACACACGGCAGGTGGAGATTTATCTCTGGCACAATTTTACTTGCAAGGGCAGATATTGGAACAGTTCACATCACTATGCATTAAATGTAGACACCTGAAGCCCCGTCACAATGATCTGCAAATGCTGTATTGTCTATTCACGTTTGATATCATCATCAGCTTGACAAGGTTTCAGTGGGTGTCCTCAAAGCCAGCTGTAGTCTCACATGGCACTCCTGGCCTTCATAGATACAATCCATGGCATCTCTTCAGGATAAGAGAGTGTTTTGAGAGACAAGTTGGTTGTTTGTTTTAAGGAAAAGAAAGCTAGTAATAATATATTCATAACTACATAACCTTTGACCAAAATCCTCCAACACAAATGCCACTGGAAAACAACAAGGAGCTGGTATTATAAGAACTGCAGTAACATTCAGGCTTTGAGGCTTTAACTTTGGAAAAATATGTCACAGCAAACTGAAATTGCTAAAATAAATTTGAAATGTGATAGGGTAGAAATGATAAAAGAAGGGAAAATTTACATGGTAAATGGATTGTACTTATACAGCGCCTTTCTGTCTAATCAAGACACTCAAAGCTCTTTACAACAATCTGTGCCTCATTGACCCATTCACACAGCTCTATACTAAATCACTACAAAGCTAATTGAACAAAGCAGCTTTTTTTCGGCCTGTGCAATGCACCTGCTATGTTTGAACGTCTGATGGAACAGGTGTTATCAGGGGTTCCACACACAGAATGTCTGGTGTTCTTGGATGACATTCTGGCTCATTGGGACTCTTTTGATTCTTCAGTGAGAGCACTGCGCAAAATGCTGGAGAGCATTAGGGGGGCAGGGCTCAAGTTGCATCCTGATAAGTGCAGGTTCCTGGCTAGAGAGCTGACTTTTCTAGGCCACCGCATAGGTAGCGACGGGATCGGAACTGCTGAAGAGAAGGTGCGAGATATTAATGAGTGGCCCACACCTTCGGATCAGAGACAGCTGAAAGGTTTCCTGGGGCTGGTGTCCTATTATAGGAGGTTTATGTGGGGTTTTCATGTCTTGCATCTCCCTTGTTCTGGCTGTTACAGAAGGGACAGGCATTTATCTGGTCACAGGACTGTGAAGGGGCTTTTGCTAGCCTGAAGCAGCCCCTCACAAGTGGACCCATCTTGGTACCACCTGATCCCCAGTTACCCTTCCTCCTGGACACTGATGCAAGCGGAGTGGGTCTGGGGGCGGTCCCATCACAGGTGAGACCTGCGGGAGAAAGAGTGGTAGCCTACTACAGTAAAACTTTGAGTAAGGCAGAGCGAAGGTACTGTGTCACCCACAGAAAGCTGTTGACTGTTGTTTTGGCTATCCACCACTTTAAATATTACCTGTGTGGGCGTTCCTTCACCATACGCAGCAATCATGTATCAATGCAGTGGTTGATGACCTTTAAAGAACCGGAGGGACAACTGGCTTGGTGGCTGGAGGAGCTACAGAGCTATGAGTTTACGGTCATCCATAGGGCGGGGGATCGACATGGTAATGCAGATGCTCTGTCCCAACGACCACGCAGTGAGGATGGCTGCCACTACAGTGATCGGCGGGAATGCCGGGAAAAGGCACTAAGTAGGGCGGCCCACGAGAACATAGAAGGGGGTGAGGAAACCAGTCCTGAGTGCAGGGAGCTGAAAGTGATGACAGTTGCAGATTGGTCGACAGAGCAGAGGCTAGACCCTGACTTATGGGTAGTTATGTTGTGGGTGGAGGCACAGCAACGGCCACCATGGGAGGAGGTAGCCACACAGTCTCCAGAGACTAAGGGACTGTGGGACAAATTTGGGGCACTACGGTTGTTAGATGGTGTCCTACAACAAGCTTGAACAGAACCAGCCACTGAAATGAAAACTTGGCAGATTGTGGTTCCCAAAGCTCTAAGGGAAACTGTTCTCTGGGTGTGCATGGGCTTGTGGGCTCAGGTCACTTTGGGGTGACAAAGACTCTCCGGCGCCTTCGCCAAACCTTCTACTGGGGTCGGCCTAGGAGAGATGTGAAGGACTACTGCAGGTGTTGTGACCTGTGCACTGCTCGTAAGCGACCACAGGGGCGATACAGGGCTCAGTTACAGCAGTTTCCAGCAGGTGAGCCCATGCTACGGTTGGGGGTGGACATCATGAAACCCTTTCCACATACAGAGTGTGGGAACCGTGTCATTCTCACAGCAGTGGATTATTTTACTAAATGGCCAGAAGTTTTTGCCCTGCCAGACCAGGAGGCAGGAACTATGGTGGATGCCCTAATGGGGGGGGGGGGGGGGGG